CTCACATTACGGTTTATGCTCAATGGTGATGCAACTTATCCAAACCACACTGAGTTTAGAGATTTATCACTGTCTCACTTTTCTTTTGAATGCCACAACATGCATCTAATTGCCCCTAAATGCAATATACCTCAAAGATGAACCTTTTTTAGCTTACCCTGGCTTGTTTTTTGAAAAACCTACTCTTAAGAAGAAAGACAAATGACTGATTCCTCAGGATATCAGTGTAGTTTTATTTTTCAACCTTTTTTCCCCCCTAAGAGATGAATACTCATAATGGCCTAGCTCCAGTTTAAGAGTCCATCCAAGTGGTATAATATTTTGTAGGAAGATGCATGGTGGCGGAGAAAAACCTGTATCCTATTTTTTTGTTTTCTGTCGGATACATCTAAGCCATCCTTAATTATCGGGACTTGTCACATATTGATATTGTGATAGTGATTTGATGGATCATCTGTCTCAAGTTAATTACATTGCATAGTGGATCGCAATTAAACCAGCTAATCCAAAGCATACCTCATGTTGTCATTTTTTCCATCCTTACTGCGGATGTGATGGTGGCCTGAACAAATATAGCAGCATTTTTAGACCTAATACCAATAAATTATACATCATGATTCTTTTGGATGTACAGCCGTATAACTAAGACTTAAGCACCTTTTTAGAAATGCTACAACAAAACATAGGATGATTTTTGTTGTACAAATCTTTATAGTACAATGATCTATAAAAAATAGGGATTGCATAAGTAAAACAAGGACCCAGTTTGGTGATATGTAGAAAATGTTAGCAAATACACTCTCTATGTATTTGTTATTGGAGATCCTGTATCTCAATGATTTTAAACATCCTCTGACTTTGTATCTCTACTAGTTGACTCTCATTATCAACCTGTTAATACACCTGATTAAACCAAAAAAAAAACTCTAAGTCTTTAGTATGAAAACTATTTTCGAGATTGCCGTATATATTATTTTAGAAAGGCACTTTTAATCGGGGGAAAAAACAAGCCTATGTTTTTTTTTTTTTGTTTTTTTTTTTTTTAGAAAATTACTTTAAAACTTCTTTTTTTTTTAAGCACTTACATAATATCTGCGGATTGATTGATCAGTCCAGAACATTTCAGAAACGACAACTCCTTTTGTGCTTAGAAAGCCTGGAACAATTAAAACTGCAAAAGTTAACAAAACGGTAACAAGCCAAAAAAAATAAGAGCACCCTTGGCTAAATGGAAATGACTCCTCGGTCTGACCGTTTGTCTTAACATGGTGTGACATTTCATCCAGTACTGTCTACTAGTTTGTAAAAGAAAAAATACAGCTGAGGTGCAGCAGGGAAAGTTGGTCTTTGTTCAAAAACTCAGTTTTGTTCTGGTCAAGCTTAGAGCCTTAGACTGCTTTTGTTTTGATTTGTATATCTCCTTCCTAAAACAATCCACTTCCTTGTGATGTAATTATTGTCATAGCAGCCGAGTGTTTATCATTTTAGATTCATGTGTACAGGAAGTACTAAGAGGAAGTACTAGAGATATACCTTTTGCTTCTTTTCCTGGTGTTTGTTCAGACCACTGCTCCAGCCCACACCCTCACAGCATGGTTTAATTTGTTGTCTTTTTGTGGTTCAGTTTACATTTCAGGCTCCCTGATCCAGTGGGCAGACCCTGTCTTTTTTTTTTTTGCACTGGCGATAGGTTTTCCCTGGTTTGCTTTTCCTCACAGCTGCTGACTCATTTCCCAACTCTGGTATTCTGTAGCATTAAATGGCATGGTAAGATGGAAAGAGTTTAATGTTGGGTGTAGGCATGACTGGATCTGTCTATGCATTAAAATATATAGAGTGGGCATAGGCTATTAAGGTTCTTAAACGTTAAACGTGATGTAATTGTCTGTGAAATAAAATTGAAGACTAGTTTTAAGGTTTAGGTTTAAATGTTAAAGGGGCTTTGGAGAAAATCCAAATCACTTTTAGATATGATATTACGTATTGGATAGGTGGTTTCAGTTTAATCCAGACTTTGGACTGGGCTTGTTCTGAAGTCGGGGTAGAAAATCTGTTTAGTCTGGTGACAGAAGACACTAATGAACAAATTGATTTCTGTCTTACTTACCAACAAGGATCTGATTGTGTGACTAGAGTTCAGCAAAGAACAAGTTGTTTTTTTTTTAAGGCCTGGGGGTTTTCGGTAGCATGAAAACCAGACGTGATGCACCAAGAGAAGATTAGGGGGAAAAGTGGTGCTGCTAAAATCTATTGCTATTGTTGGGTTTCACTGGTCTGATCGGTATTCTAATCCCCTACAGTTCAGTCTTTATTAGCCAAGCAAGGCCAATCTTTGCTTTAGATTACACTTTAAAAGCAGAGGAGTTTTAAGCAGTTCCACAAACTTTTGATGACCTACAAAGGTTAACATTAAAAAATAATCAGTAAAAAAAAACTAACTATGAGTAAAATAAGTGTGATACCTTTAAAGTTCTCATAGAATCTACATGCACATGTTGTGTTTTAGTTAGTTAACCTTTATGGTTACAGTAACTTTGCCAATTAAAACATCCAGCTTGGTAAGTAATTCTGGAAATTCTCCACCAGCCCCGCTTTGGGACCTCATCCAAAAGCTGCATCACAGGGAGACTGAAAGGAGGATGATTTTTGTTTTTTTTTCATTAATTTCTCAAACACTGTTGAAGTGTTTCCCACAATGAACTTTTTCATTTGATCTCATTATTTTTTTTATGTTTTTTGAAGATGCCTTATTGGAGTATTGAAACTCTAAACATGCCATTATCTAATAAGGCATCCATCTTAGAGCAATAATTATACCAAAATTATAAAAATTTTGATATAAAAACTTTTTTTTTTGTTCATCAGTAGGCTCTATCCACAACTCATTTAGTGAACAAGTTTCATTCTCAAGTGTTCTAAATTCTGTAAAAAATCTTCTTTAGTAAGTTACCTTTTGCTATCCGATTATTATTTGCTAAATTAAAAAATTAATTATTGACAGATAAATCGATTTTTATGATGATCATTAGTTGCAGCCCTAATACGATCCACATTTCTGTCTCATCATTTATCAAATAATTATCTTTGTTTTCCATTCAAAGCTGCCTCGTTTTATGCACAAAAACACAATAACACAATATCTGATATGTAATAGAAGTGAATTTCAGAACAGGTTTAAATTAAAATGTTACTCAAAACTCATGTGTCTTTGTTCTACTTTCATATCATTTAAATTTTAAAGTTCACTTGGAAGATTTCAAAGATTATGCTCTTTTGTTTAGAACTTTATGTCTATAATATCTTGGAGTTGTCATTCTCCTCCAATCCCAACATTGGAACCAAAACATGCTGTAAGTGTTCCCATAATTTCTGTGACTGAATCATCACGTTTTCATCCTAATAAGGAGAACCTCCGTTTGGTTAATCTTTTTAATAGAGCATCTGCTGCTTTTGGAGTCTGCTGTAATCTAATCTGCTTTCCTCATATTATCACATAAGCTTTGTGCGAAGTTTAACTTACTCTTGTCTCGTTCATAGCAGAGCCATGATTTTTTCATGTTTTTTTTTTTTTTTGTTTTTTTTGTATCCTTCACCATCAAAGCCTTCAACTGTAATTTATTTTACGCTGTCAAACTTTTAATAGGCTTCCCCTCTCGGGAGTGGGTACAGGATTGAGCTTGTGCTTTTTTTTTTTTTTTTTTTTTTAAGTGAAGAGGGCGGGTCTTTTCAAAAACTTGCAAAAATCCTCCACTATGCCTTTCACAGAAATGTGTCACTATTTGATGTTAGTAGAAAACCATGTTCTAAGCTGAGCTGAGTTTGTGGTTCTTCTTTAAGCCTTTTTGAGCTTTTCAACTGGATGATGTTATGTATTCCTACATGCCTACATGCATTTTATACCTGTTCCTGCCCGTCAGCAAATAACTTAGGTGATTACAAATCAGTAATGAAAATAAATACAATTTTAATGACTACTGCTTTCCTAAAATAATTTATTTTTGACAATCCCCCCCGGAGATTTTATGTGGACTTTATTTCAGATGGCTGTGATGGTTGCTCTAGTTTTTGTTCCAGGACAACTGGGTAAAACGAGCTTTGTGGACTTTGAAATACGCTTTGGGTTTTTGTGCTGTTTGACGGCTGTTTCCAGAATGTTTGTGTTTTCAGTGTGGTCTGAAATGTGGAAAAGATGAGAAGAATTATTTTGCTCTCTATCAACATGATGTATAAAGAAACGATCAAAGCCGCAGCAGAAGATATTTTTAAGCTCCAGTTTCTGAAGGTTTCTGAAAAATCAACACTGACATACATGTTTATGTTAAATGGGAAGCGGTTTTCTTTGCAAGACCCTTTGCCATCCAAGTTCCTAAAACGGTATTTGCAAAAGTCCAACAAGCTTTTGAAGAACCGTTCCCCATATGAAGCAATAATGTGATCCTGCAGGATCAGGGCTCTGATGAGAGCAGAATCTGTAAATAAAAGTCTTATACTCTGAAAGCAGCAACAGTTTAGACGTTGTGCAATTATTTAGCTTCAAGATATATTTTTGTCACGTGTTCCTTTTTTTTTTCACACTGAGGAACAATTTTCATCTGCACATATTCATCTTTGTTTGATTAGCTCTTCACAGATGTGCCCCAGTTTCCACAGTGCCTCATGATCATCACCACTACTGCATGTCTGTTCTTTGTAGCTGCAACCATAAAAGTCTTCTTGAGATGCATCCAATATTTTAAGCAACCCGCATGCTAATTCTGAAATCGCTACAGCGTATCAATAGGAAATTCTTTTCATGTTTTATTGTTATTACATTTGCCATTAAACTGAGGCTGCAAGTAAAGCAGGCTGATGAGTACCAAATGGTTTTATGGAAAGTTTCAGATGAGTGCAATTACACCATACTTTTTTAACTTAAAGCCAGTAGGACAGTATCCCCTAAATGAAAATTATATGTGCAAAAACTGAACTAAACTGTTATTTTAATATTCTGACTTGCGTAGGTCTTTAGTACCTTCTCCAATGAGGATTATGATCGCAGCAATGATGATGTGGACCCAGTCGCAGCATCTGCAGAGTACGAGCTGGAAAAGAGAGTGGAGAGGATGGACGTGTTTCCTGTGGAGATTGAGAAGGGTGAGTCCAAAAGAACCTTTAGGGTATTGAGCAAGTGAATTTATGAGGAGTGTGTCAGCAAAATAATGAATTTATATTTTACTGGCACTCCTACTAGAATTGTATAAAATATTTCTAGTCTTAAAGTTTTGGCCCACTAATGTCAAGATGTGTAAATTCCCCCTTTTCTTTAAAATCTTGTTTTATTATTTGCCAAACATTTTTTTACAGCATATGAAAATGTACAACATTGATTTATAATTGCTTAGAAACTGAGACCAGCAAATTATTAATTGGATATTTTAAACTGTTCTTAGCGTCTTGCATTACATTTCTTCACTGTAGGGCAATAAATGTATTTCTTATCATATCTGTTCGTTCCACTTGTAGACCGATATATATTTTTTGTCAATACTATCATTTGTTCTTGTCGTTTTTTGTTTTTGTTTTTTTTGTCAGTTAATGCATGTATGTGTTATATTTAGCAAATATGCCCTGAGATCCAGTGCTAATCCCCTTCATTTGCTACCGTTAATGTTATGTTTCCTTTGCTAATATTTCTTTGTTTTTTAAAATAAAGACTTTTAAAGTATTTGCTGTACTAATATTGTTATCATGTAAATGGAGAAAGAAAAGCAATATCAGCTATAAGAATCAGTCCAAAAATATTGTCAGGACATATTTATAATCGGTTAGATGGACGTCAAAATAATTGGTATCAGCATTGGCTTTAAAGAAGAAAACCATCAGTGTATTTCTAAATGATAGTTGACATTATTCTCTACAGGTTGTAACAATACACCTTAATTCAGAGTATTGTTAATTCAATTCAATTCAGTTTATTTATATAGCGCCAAATTCACAACACATGTCATCTCAAGGCACTTTACAGTTCAACCAGATCATACAGGCTCCCAAGATCTCTAAATCTTGCATTTTTCATACTACGAGGTTGAAAGAACAGAATAAATGTTTTGTTCAACCTTCCTATTATCTGTTGAAAGTCAAATTCTATCCCACAACACAAATAAACCACAAGGCTGAAAATGGACAAATTGTATTTCCTCATAATGTGATTGTTTATGCAGGATTTGGCACCTTAATGTTACAACTTCAGATCAGTTCAGTTATAACTCAGATGTTTGCAGTTTTTAAATATAATGCATTTTGTACAAAACTTTTGGGATGCATTCTCCATTATCATCCATTCTTCTAAACCATCCTTTTTCTCTTCCAGGGGATAATGGGCTTGGCATCAGTATCATAGGAATGGGAGTGGGAGCAGATCAGGGTTTGGAAAAACTTGGAATTTTTGTAAAAACTATAACAGAGAACGGAGCAGCTGAGAAAGATGGACGGTAAATAAATGGTCCAAGTATACTGCTTCACCCCCCTCCTACATTAATGAGATGTTAGACTCCTGTCCTAATTTTTCTATCACCTGAATTTAGCACCCATTATAACATTCTTCACATCTCACAGGTTTTACTTTCTTTCCCTGTAGGATACAGGTGAATGACCAGATAGTGGAAGTTGATGGTACCAGTCTGGTGGGAGTGACCCAGCTGTTTGCTGCAACTGTCCTAAAGAACACTAAAGGCACAGTGAGGTAAGTTCAACTGCTCTCCCCCTACAACAACCTAAATCTAACTATCCTGCTGGCAGCAACCTCGTCCTTTTCGTATGTCACTATGAAATGATAATGGCGAAATAATTTTTCTTTTAAAATATTTTAGGGAAGGGAAAGAGGATCTGTTGTTTTCAAAGTTTGCTTTTTCTTCAAAGTCCTACATGCTGTTCAAAATACTATGAAAATTATTTATAGGCAAATTTTACCACCTACACATTACAAAGTCTGTTCAAAAACACATTTCTAGTTTGCATATCTTAGCTTGAGGGATACAACAAGCAATGCAGTGTGGGTATTCAAAGCAACATGTATAATGCTACATTGTAAAGAATTCTTCTCTGTAAAAAAACAAAACAGGTTTCTGATTGGTCGAGAGAAGCCAGGAACTCAGAGCGAGGTGGCCCGCCTCATCAGTGAAACACTTGAACAGGAGAAGAACCAGCAGCAACAAGACCTGGATGATCCTTATGACCACTCTACAGAGGAGGTAAGTCTGCGTCATAGGGACCCTTAGAAAGATTGCTCATTACTTTGCCTAATGCTGTTTACAAAAATGTTTACAAGAGTAAATCCTGTAATTACGATAATGCAGTCAAAGCATTTGTGCAGTATTAGCCTCTGTACCACTCCCAGACCAATGCCACTGGGATCTTGCAGGAAATTAGCAGCTGCCTATGAGTAAGCCATGTGTCACAGTTCTGCTGTAGGACAAGGTTCAGTCAGTTGCTGTCTGTCCATCAGAGTCATGAAATGTTGTTCTGTCCATCAAGCCTTTGTAGACATCTAATTTTGCAACATTGAAACAATGCAAGGATTTAATAGAATTTATTATGGCAGACAAAGAAAACAAGTATCAGTTTTTGTGGCCATGCAAAGTCTGTGGCCATAGTCTTGTTATCTACAGAGTGTGTTTGCTTTTATTGCCATAAACATACCAAGCCAAGCCCCTGAGGTGACACCTGTGGACCAACCCAGTGTTGTTTGCTGTAGACATACTGATTGAGATATTTCCTCAGGACCAGGGTAAAACTAGGAGTATGGCTTAATCAATATCAAGCTGTAATAGGCCTTTAAGGTGTGTTTGAGCTCACAGTAAGTATATCTTTTAGGAGGAGAGGTATGAAGACGATGACACGATAGAAGAACGAATTCTTGGGTCCAATTTCTCTCCAGGAAGAAATGTAGAGGTGTTCGAGCTGCCTGATTCTGAGTCGTTGTTCATGCCAGGGGAAATGAACAGCTCTCAGATGGCTTTCAAATTCAAAGAGGTACAGAAAAGAATTTCTCTATTGTTGGACATCTGTTTACGATAAAGTATCTGGTATATTAGGGTAACGATATGTCAAATGTTTCTAACTTTCCATAGCTGCAACTGAAGCACAGCATTGCTGTGGCTGAAATAAATCAACTAACGGAAAAGGTAGGAGGAGTAAAATCTATCTATCTATCTATCTATCTATCTATCTATCTATCTATCTATCTATCTATCTATCTATCTATCTATCTATCTATCTATCTATCT